GAGAGAGAGAGAGAGGGACCTCGCATTGAACACTTGGAGGTCATGTTCCTCTTTTTCTCCTTCATGTAAAGAGGGAGCATATGGGTTCATGTGTATTTTTGTGTGTGCATCTGTGTGGGTATGAGAGAGAGAGAGGCCGCACATCGAACACTTAGAGTCCATCTTCTTCTTACATGGCCCAAGAGATGGAGAGAGATAGGGCGTGAGAAGAACAATACCAGGCCTCACTTTTGTTTTGGTGGATTTTAAATTTCATTTTTTTGATCACTGACAATAAGCAAAGCCTAAATGATTCGAGGTACAAAAAATGGCAAAGAAAGAAGGTATCAGAAAGCTAAACTTGCAAAAAGATTTCGGCAGTTCATCAATGCTTGGGTAACTTAGATACCACCCAGAAATATTTAGGCCAACAACCACAAAGAGTGTAAAGTGCCACCAAGTAATAATATCTTTTTATACTTACAAATTACCCACACACCAAAAAACTGCATAAAATCTAAATTCTCACAAAACTAGCACAGGCAATACAGAAAAATGCACCAGTACCTATCAACAGAAGAAGAAAAGCAAGGAATTTACTGAAACCTACAGTGAAAAGCTGCAATGAAACCCCATGTGAAAAGAAAGGGATACAATGAAACAGAGTGGTTTCAAATAAAACAACAGAGAAATTCGATAGTGTAGAGAGAGAGAGAGAGAGAGAGGACCTTTCTCGCAGAAACTGAGAAAAATCCTTGTTAGAGATACCCTGCTTCGTCAAGAAACCGACAGGGTCGATGCCTTTGTCAGCGTCTGCTGCTTGAGAGCTTCGCCTCCTGGGCTTTCTCTGTCTATCGCTCTGTTGCTGCTCTGAAGCCATGCACGTCCATTTACAGGGAACCAATGGGCTCCTCCTTTGAAGGAGAAATGATTTACCTGCTCTTCTCTTAAAAAAGATAGAGCTTGGTAAAGATGACAGAAGACTTCCTCCATGAACATGTATGCGAGAGAAGGAAGGATTCCTAGAGAGGAAGAGAGAGGTTTGGCATTGAGGGGTAAGAGACGCCATTGCTAAGCAACAGTTTCTGAAGTACGAAAAAAGAGTTTCTCTGTCTAGATTTATGAAAAAAGAGTTTCTCTCTCTAGAATGGTCGAGTATAAGGAGGAGCAGCAGAGTACGTGTTGTTTTAAAGATAAGCAATGGCGCGATATACCCCGTCTTCGATACAAGAGAGCGAGTACGGTTTGTTTATTGGACAAGCTCCTATGCTTTCTTTCAACATAAAACTTATTTACTTTCCCTTATACACCATCCCATTTGAAAGGAGGGATAAGATTGCCCTCAATCATTTTATATTTTATATTTTATTTTTTATTTTTATTTTTTTATATAAACTATTTTTATACTAAAGTTCATACGCAATCCTTTATTAAACGCGTATTTGTAAAAAAAAAAAAAAATTTCAATAAAATAAAATGATCAAAATACGTTTGAAAGATTTGAAAGGTATTTTTGTCATTATATTTTGTAAGTGCCCAATTAGAAGACAGAACGTATCAAATATTATATTCATACAATTTGATAAAAAACAAATTAAAAATAAAATATTATGATATGGCGGATCTAGAAATCAAACGATAAGTGAATCACTTGATCAAAATTGGACGGCTGGATGGTAGAGGATGCATACATCTTTTATGTTGTAGGGGAAGTATAGATACCCTCCCCTTATACAACCATCCCATTTGAAAGGAGGGATAAGATTGCCCTCAATATTTTATATTTTATTTTTTATTTTTTATATAAACTATTTTTATGCTAAAGTTCATGCCCAATCCTTTATTAAACGCGTATTTGTAAAAATATATATATATATATATATCTCAATAAAATAAAATGATCAAAATACCTTTGAAAGATTTGAAAGGTATTTTTGTCATTATATTTTGTAAGTGCCCAATTAGAAGATAGAACGTATCAAATATTATATTCATACAATTTGATAAAAAACAAATTAAAAATAAAATATTATGAGATGGCGGATCTAGAAATCAACCGATAAGTGAATCACTTGATCAAAATTGGACGGCTGGTTGGTAGAGGATGCATACATCTTTTATGTTGTAGGGGAAGTATAGATACCTTCCCCTTATTTATTAAGGGGATTGCTTGAAAAGAGACTTTTTTGTATTACAAGGATGTCACAATTATCACATTCATCATCATCATTCTAGTTTTTTTTTTCCAATTAAATGGGGTCGACTACACGAACCTTGGTATGTCATTCTGCTTTGTTAAATGTCACAACTATCTCGCTCATTAGATGTTAAATTGGATAATTTGGGTTGAGTTGAAGTTTGAGAAGTTGTTTTTTGAACTTTGTATCTATTTAATAACATGTGGGATTTGAATAAAGTTGTAACTTTAAACAATCCAATTAAGATGCACCTCTAAATTTTATCATAAATATAATTTTGATATAAAAAATTATTAGTGTGGCTTGATATTCTATTTCATATGTACTTACCAAATTTTAAACTCTAGAAATGGTTCAAATCAAGTAGATCTACAAACACATGAAGATCTTGAAAATGGACGCTCCAAATGATGTGTTGCAAGATATACTATTTCACTGACTTGAAATATTTTTTCATTTTTATAGTCAAACATCTCGATGTTGAGATGATTAATTAGAGGGTTTTCCAATATCCAAACAACATTTTATGATAGATTTTTTAGGTGCATCTTTAATTCAACATTTTAATGTTGCAATCTTATACAAATTTTTTCCTTTAACAACACTCTTACAACTACCCATTTTGAAATTGGAAGGACAAAAGTAATTATAGCCTCATTTTACAAAAGGTAAATGGTCTCTTTATATACTTGTTTTTTATTAAGAGAGAAAATACAATTTATTTATTAATTTAATGGGAGATTTAATTATTGAATTCAGAAAACTTGTCAACCACATCAAAGATAGAATCCATACCTCAAAGCATTTTTGGCAAGCCTAAAATGAAGTCTATACTTTTCAAAAGATAGAAGTTTGGGCATGAAAAGATGTTGGAGATTCGAATACCCGAAACCCCAAATTAACTATTTATTGAATATCACACACTCAAAACATGCTCAAAGAATCATGAGCAGCAATTTTAAAAAAAATAAATAAGAGACGAAATGACAAATCATGAGAGGAAATAAAAAAGATAAACCACAAAACCAAATAAAATGTGGTTCACCTTGTAGGACTATGTCCATGGGCAAGCCAGCAAGTAAAATTCCACTATCAAAGATAAATTTACAAAGCGTATATAGTGTTACCTCAATAGAGAAAACCGATGAAAATCAACACCAAAATACCTTCTTGAAACCACTAAAAACCCACGATTTGCCCCGTAGTTCTCTTCAAATGATTCAAAAACTTGAGCAATACAAGCTCACATAACAAAAGAAGGGTAAAAAATCACCTTCCTCACCTCTTTCCCTTTCTCCCCGTTACCAAAAGAAACCCTAATATTTTCTAGGGACAAAGAGAAGAGAACAAAGAAGGCAAAATCGTAGGCCCAAATGTGCCTTTTACAACTTTTACCTGTCTTTTTTTTTTTTGTAATAATGAAACCCTAACAAATATGTAAAAGACAAATGCATCTATTGTGATTTTCTATCACCATTAACAATCTCAACCTTGATAGTATATCACCTACTTACCTTACCGAACTTCAGTGAAAAGAATTATTATTGATTTCTTCTAATTTGCCTCCATTGCCGAATTTTCACAAACACTTCACCTCAATATTTATCCACCTCAAACCATGTATCCGTCAAATTTCGCTATTATAGTGCACAAAACCACATGCTCGGATACTACTTGTTGGAGATTCAAATACTTGAAACCCCAAATTAGCCATTCATCGAGAAGATCACATACTCAAATACAAAATATGTAAAATTAACAATTTGATAACAAGCTCAAGGAATCATGTGCAACAATTTAGAAAAAATAAATAAAAGATAGAATCACCAATCATGAGAGGAAATACAAGAGACAAATCACAAGACCAAAGATAGCCTAGTTCACCCTGGAGGGCTGCGTCCAAGGGCAAGCGGTAAGTATATTTCGACTATCAAAGGGAAATTTACAACTACAACACCAAATTTAACATGGTTCACCCTATAGGGCTACGTCAACAGCTAAGCTGACAAGTAAATTTTACTGCCACAGATAAATTTACAAGAAGGATACAGTGTTACCTCAATGGAGAAAACATGTGAAAATCAACACCAAATTACTCTCTTGAAAGCGCCCAAAATCCACAATTTACACCGTGATTCTATCCAAGAAAATGAGCAACACAAACTAATATAATATTTCCATTAAAAGGGATAAGAAAGCACCTTCCTCACTTCTTTGCCTTTTTCCCATTACCAAAAGAAACCCTAACCTTTTCTATAGAGAGAGAGAAGCAAAAACCAAGAGGGCAAAATCGTAGGCCCTAAATAAGTTGTTTACAACTTTTATCTAAGCCACTTTTTTTTTTAATAAAAACAAAAATCCTTAACAAATATGTAAAAAAATAAATGCGTCCAAGGTGATTTTCTATCACCATAAACAACCTCCACCTTGATAGCAAATCACCAACTCCTCTTGTTGACCTTCATTGAATAGATTTCTTGATTTCTTCTAAAATGCTACTATTGTAGAATTTTCATAAACACCTTGCCTACATATTTCCCCACCTCAAACCATGTATCCATCAAATTTTGCTATTTCTCCCAAATTTATTGCTCAAAAGATATTACTCTGATACCACTTGTTGGATATTCGAATACCAGAAACCCCAAATTCCGTTCACCAAATATCACACACTCAAACCCAAAATAGGTAAAATCGATTGTCCAATAGCAAGCTTAATAATCATGTGCAACAATTTAGAAAAAAATAAATAAGTGATGGAATTACCAATCATGAGTGGAAATAAAAGAGACAAACAACAAGAACAAATTTAACGTGGTTCACCCTATAGGGCTCGTGCACAGGCAAGCCGACAAGTAAAATTCCACTATCGAAAATAAATTTATAATAATGATATAATGTTATCTTAATGGAGAAAATCAGTGAAAATCATCACCAAAATACATTCTTGAACCACCAAAAACCCACAATTTTCCCCATGATTCTCTTCGCATTATCCAATACTTAAGCAATATGAGCTCATATAATATCTTCATAAAAGAGGACAAGAAATCACCTTCCTCACCTCTTTCCCGTTCTCTCTGTTACTGAAAGAAATCCTAACATTTTATAGAGAGAATAAAAAATCGAGAAGGCAAAATCGTAGGCCCCAATTGTAACTTTTACAAAATCGTAGGTTCCTTTTTTTTTGTAGCAAATTACATATTTGCCTTGCCAATTACAAAGTGATTCTCTATCACCATTAACAATCTCCACCTTGATAGAAAATTACATATTTGCCTTGTTGACCTTCACTACATAGATTTATTGATTTCTTCTAACTTGCCTCCATTATAGAATTTTCACAAACACGTTGCCCTCAATTTTCTCCACATAAACCATGCATCCCTCCAATTTTGCTATTCTCCCAAATATATTGTACAAAACCCAATTTTCTGATACCACTTGTTAGAGACTCCAATACTCGAATCCCCAAATTAACTGTTCATCGAATATCACATGCTCAAACCCAAAATATGTGAAATTGGAACTAAAATATGTGAAATCAATAATATGATAACAAGCTCAAGGAATCGTATGTAAAAATTTAGGAAAAATACGAAAGAGATATAATCACTAATCATGAGAAGAAATAAAAACGACCAATCATGACACCAAATTAACATGCTTCACACTGTAGGGCTACATCCATGGGCAAGTTGGCAAGTAAAATTTCATTTTTAAAGAAAATTTTACTAGTCGGATACAATGCTACCTCAATAGAGAAAACCAATGAAAATCAACTCCAAAATACCTTCTTGAAACCACCCAAAATCCACGATTTACCATGTAATTCCCTTCGGATGATCCAATAACTTGAGCAATACAAACTCACATAATCTCTCCATAAAAAGAAACAAGAAATCACCTTCATCACCTTTTTTTCTTTCACCCCATTACCAAAAGAAACCTTAATATATTCTAGAGAGAGAGAAGAGAAAACCAAGAAGGCAAAATTGTAGGGCCCAAA